AATAATCCAAACCCAAATAAGACTAATGAAGTAATTAAATCTTCCCTTCCAAAAAAAAAAAAAAAAGTAATTAAAAAAAGCAAAATTGTAAAACATGCATCGCCTGTAACCTAAACTCTTCCATATTTCTATATTCTCCATCAAAACCCTAATTTATTTTTCTTCTAGGTAAGCAGAAGAGAAAACTAAATTTTTTTTTTCGATGAATACTACACATCGAACCAATAGATATCATATACTAATCTCCGAAATACTCCACAGATTACCCATGAAATCACTTTGCCGATTTAAGTGTGTTTGTAAACATTTGAACACCTTAATTTCAAGTCCCGAATTCATCATTTTTCACCTCTGTTTCGCCTTAGATGACGTTGATCACCTCTTCTTTTTTTTTCCCATAACTTCTATGACAGAAATAAATTATGTCGTCTCTACACCTTGAGCTTATACGACTGCTTTACACGTACATTCAATAAACTGAAGAAAGTACATCTTCCTATAAGAAAAAATCAGAAAAATCAATTCATTTTTGTTGGCTCGTGCAATGGCTTGCATTGTATTGTAAGGATGTCGTCAAATTGTTTAGATATCATTGTATTTGATCCATCTACAAGGATTTACAAGCATGTAGAAGTCACGGATTTGGCCTTCCATGGACCGAGTTCAACAAATTTTGGGTTCGGATTTGATGATATTAATGATGATTACAAGGTTGTAAGAGTTAGACGCGATGAGGATTTAAATCATATAACAATGAATGTTATGGTTTATAGTTTAAAGACAAATTCTTGGAGACAAGCTAAGAGTAGTCGTACGAGTGCATCATTGAAGGGGTACCGTCCTAATGAGGCTAGCGTAATAGACAACCATTTACTTCACTGGATTATAATGACACCCCCAGGAAAATTGGAGATTGCTTGTTTCGATATTTGTAATTAGGTGTGGAGGGAAGATATCGTGTGGCCTTACTCTTTAGTAATTGCATCGCGTTCAAATCCACAATTAGGAGTTTTAGACGGGTGTTTGTACGTGATTTTTAAGATTCCAAGTGAAAATAAATTCGATATATGGGTGCTGAAAGAGTACAGAGTGAATAAATCATGGGTGAAGTTGTTGGAAATATCAAATCAATGTTTGGCACTATCCGTACATACCATCTACGATACTCCTTGGCGTTTGAGGCTTCTTGGTTACACCAATAAATCAAAGGACGAGATTTTGATTTGGGATAATGAATTATCTTATCTTATCTGGTTTGACTTATAAAATAAAAACGTGAAAAGTGAAAGGGTGATAGATGGGGTTCCTAGAGATATCACCGCGGTTTATTTATTTGATGGAAACCTTGTTAACATTCCTGGTGGTCGACCTTTACAAATCAACAAGGTATGCTTCAAAGCCTTCATACATGCAATTAAGAGAGAGATTTGCTACAATTTATTTTCTCTTTGATAGAGAATATCAGTAGAATATTCTCTTCCTCACTCTTTGTATATATCATTATACCCTGGTTGTCATTTTTTATTTTTATATTGAAGAGATTGTTATTTAGTGTCTGGTTTCTAATATTTAAAAAAGCAATCATCCGCATAATTATTGAAAAATCATAGGATATGTTTTACGAAGTACGGAGTAGTGATTAAATCTCCATAAACAGAACAGATTAACAGATCCAATAATTTGGTACATTTAGCTAGGAATAAATTGATGCAATTAGGAACATATACCGAAGTAAACTACTTGGTAGTTTATGTACATATTCTACAAGATTACAAATATAAATTGTAGAAGCATGATAATCAATGTGTACTTTTAGCATTAAACGATTAAATGGGTTGAAGGATTGTAAACTAACACTTGATTGAGTTTGTGGAGTGTGTTGAAACAATTGTTCTCATCAACAGTAGAAACTCGAATTTCGACCAAGTGTGACGATAGATGTTCATTGTAACAGATTGTAGGCACTCGGTCGAAAGTCAAGCCTCAAATATCCATGTAACAGATGTTTGTTGGCTCGTTGCTATAGTAATTTATAAGAAATTTTTTCATATTTGATGAAGTTGAATTGATCTATTGAGGGTTCAGCTGTAAAAAATCTAGCTAACACAAATTATAATTTTTTATTCAGGGACTCCTTTTTACTTTGAAAGAGGTATTTAGATTAGCTAGTCGAAAGTGTAATAAGGTTCGCCCTAATGCTTTGACGTAACAACAAAGGGAAACTAATCTTCATGGACGACAAGGGAAAATATTGATGAACAAATGGACGCGCTGATGCTGTTGCAAAACAAGGAAGAAGGCCAGGGAAGCTAATCTACATTCACAAATGATATTGATGAACAAATGTGTGCTAATTCTTTATCAAAACAAGCAAGAAAGCTTTTAGTTTTGATTTTGATCTGTTATTTGTAGCTTAATTAATTAAAAACCATCAGAAAGTTTCTTATTTAGTAAGATTGTGACAATCGGCATCATTACTATACATTTTGCTCATATGTGGTTGGCCTGAATATCATTATAAATTTTAAATTATATCGAGATATAATGTTACTCAAGTGTCATTTAAGTGTAGTTTACAAAGTTATTTAGGATTGTGGACTACCAAGTGGTTCAAGTGTTCGACTCGAGTATTAATATGGTAGGCCGGGTAGACAAGGTTTAGTTCTTCGTAACACATGTGGATCATTGATAGTAAAATTTCATCGTATTTGTCTTGTATTACTCGCAATACTTATACATCATCGATTGCAAATTAAGGAATGCACCCTTATACAAGTATACAACACTTTCCTTCATACTCATGAATAACAAGAATAATATTTTTGGACGGATGAAATAATGTTAATATTCCGAACCCCACGTAATTTTGGTGAACAAAGTTTGAAAATGTTGATGATGGTCAGAGAAGACCAATAATTAATAGACTCTTCAAATCCCCAATAAATTATGCATAAATTCCCTAGTAATTGGAAATAGGATCATCTCTCGACGGTCAAATGACTAACCATTACCTATCTTGTGATTGATCTTCCTATAAATATAACATTATTCATTCATATATCTTTAACATATGAATAACCAAGAAATCTCACAAAAAATAATTTGCTCCAAATGTCAACGCTTCCTACAGATATAAATACTTGCAGAAATTCTCCCAAAGTTACCAAGCAAGTATACATTTCGCTTCAAATGTGTTTCCAAATCCTACAAAACCTTAACACCAACGAGGTTTTTTATAGACATTTTGTTCAACAATATACTCCATAGATTGCCTGTAAAATCACTTATTCGCTTCAAATGTGTTTCCAAATCATTTAAAGCAAAGATTTCTAGTCCTGAATTCATCAACCTTCACTTTCGCTACTCGCTCTCCTCATACACTAATCGCCTTCTCATCCTCAACCTACTCAACAACGGAAACAGCCAAAGTGCCCTACACTACTTCAACTTAGACTCCCCGGAATCACCAGCATTATACCGTCTCATCTTACCTGAATCATTTGATAAAGATTCTGTCAACATTCGATGCTTTGGATGTTGCAATGGGTTACTTTGTATTGGATCAAATTTTATGTGGAGGAACTCTTTTGAGCGCTTCTTGTTGATCAACCCATCTACTGGTACCTCTTTCTCAGTTCCGCCGCCTTTAAACCATGCTTCGAAGAACCATATGCTTGGCGTTCGTTCTGTTAATATCATTGGGTTTGGTTATGAGAGTCAAACAACTGATTACAAAATTGTTGAAATTGTTGAATATGATTTCTTTGGGTTACGAATAAGGGACACCTTGGTTTATAGCTTGATATCGAATTCTTGGAGAGTTGTCGAAAGTACGTCTCCTCCTAAGGCTACATTGAAATACAGTGAAACCGGTGCTCTCATAAACAACCATCTACTTCATTGGATGTTCCCCTCTTTCTCTCGCCGGATTGCTTGTTTTGATCTTAGGAAAGAAAGATGTTCCTGTCTTAGGCTGTTTTGAGGATGACAAACAAGATAATTTGGTGCATTCAGGGGTCTTTGAAGGGTGCTTGTGCTTACTAATCGAGGTTGTTTCGTGCCTTAATACAGTTAATGTGTGGGTCATGAAAGAATATGGTATGAAAGAGTCTAGGGTGAAGTTGGTGGGAGTTTCAGATCCACCTTGTACTATGACTCTACATACTTATCCTCTTTGTTATTGTGATGGATCAAGAGATGAAATTTTGCTAGGCATTGGTGGTGAACACGGCTTATTTTTCAAGAGTCGGTGGTACAAGGCCAAAGATAAACTATCTCGAATTGCTGAAATACATACCATCCATGAGGTAGACCATATGCGTATTCTTGAGGTTTATGTATGTAATGGAAGTCTTGTTACTATTCCCGGCAGTATCCAAATCTGGAAGGAAGAGCAACCATAACAAGAAAGAAGGTAAGCACGTATTTATTTTGTTTCAAGTGTATTGTATATTATGCTACTACTAGAGCTCGAGTTTAATTCTGGTTATCTTGAGTGATTGCAAGCAGAAAGCCGATAAAAAGCAGGCAGAAGGTCAGGACTCAGGACTCAGCAATTATTACAAAGAGAGATGAACATATTGCAGAATGTTATTGTTAAGAAGTAGCAAGTTTGAAGGAGCACTTTTAATTTAAATTTCTGCTTTTCTTGTTAATATTTTGTGTTTAAGAACTTGTTTTCATATTAAGAAGTTTAGGCTATGAACTCAACTGATGTTTAATTTAACGCATGAAAATTAAGGTTATCTAACGAAATATTATTTTGGCATTCTTAATTCCTCACTGATCAGTACGTAGGTAAATGAAATGGTTACCGGTTAGAAATTACTCTGTAAATGACAAGGGAGGCAAACACGATGTAGGCACCAGCTAGAAACATATGGACGCGATGAACTATTTCCCTGCATCATTGTGCACACTACAAAGTCATCTTTCTTTTTTGGATTTTCTGCAAAAATCCCAGATTAACATACACGTATGACAGCAAACTTAAAATCTTGCTCATATACAAAGATAATTTCTATTAAAGCTTTATATATGCAATTATGCATGATAAGTGGATAACACTACAACCAGGAGTTCTTAACCAACCTATAGATGACCAATATATGAAAAAGATTCATTAGCATGAGAAACATGATTATCCTGCCAAATTTAACACTGTAAGATTAACAATCAATCATTTGCCTCACCCTCCATTCCATCTAAGAGCCTTCATCACTTCCATCAATTACCTCCGGAACAGGAACAAGGCTTTCGACACAAAGCTTAACATCGCGAAGCTTGAGGCTGCTCGGAATATTTCGTTCAGCCTTAATACTTTTCCTCCTCAAATCATACCAGCAAAGGCCATCCTCATCAGCTTTTCTCAACAGAACTTCATCTCCTCCTTTGAAAGAAGCTAGTGGAGAACTCAGCAATGGACCAACTAAGCTAGCCTCTGTGACATTAAACAATTTAGTCCAAGAATCTTCGACACCATACTCTTTCATAACCCAAACATAAGCATTGTCAAATTCAGGGCAAAATCGAGTCACTATACTCAAACATTCATCCAAAACACCTAAGGCAACGATATCACTACTTTCGAACTCAGCCTTAGACAATGTATCATCATCATCAGAACAGTCTATCTTCTCCTTTCCTCTGAAATCCGGCAAGGCCAATTTAGTCCACTTAAAGGAGGACAAATCAAACCCGCGAAGCCGAGGCTCTCTTTTCCTATACTTCCAGAAAATCCAATGAACTATACAGTTATTAAGGACTGCACCAGAGCAAAACCATTTCATCTCATCACCAAAATATGCAACATGAATCATTTTCCAACAATTCTCTTTCAAACTATACACCATAACTTCCTTGTATATGAAACCAATACTACATTCGTCACTGCTATCACCATCACTTCCATCAGCATCATTATCACCATCGACATCGACACCGCCACCGTCATCCTCATTATCACCATCACTACCATCCTCATCTTCGGCAAGGTCAGTGCCACCACCATTGACATCGAAATCCACATCATTGTCACTGCCACCGCCACTACTACTATCATCCCTGTGATGAAAATAATCAACAATCCTAACAATCTTATAATCATCATTTCCACAATCATACCCAAAACCAAAACTAACACCCATAAACTCAGAAGACAAATCACCAACAACGGGAATACAAGGCAGTACAAAATACGAATTCATAGAAGGGTTCCATAAAATAAACTTAAACAATCGAGGATCATCAACATTTCTACAAACCAAAGCAATTAATCCATTACAACACCCACAAATCGAAACCTCAAAACCAGAAAAGGAACTGGGTAAATCAAACCTCATCAAATCGTTATCAACATCAAGCTCATAACCCCACTTCAAAGGCGTCGATTCCAGGTGACTTCCATAGTTGAGAATAAGAAGACGACGGTCAGAGGAGAGAGAGTGAGCGAGGTGAAGTCCGATTAAATGGGTGCTGCTGATTAAGGAATTCCAAGCCTTGGAAACGCATTTGAAGCGCAGTAGTGATTTTGTGGGTAATCGGGTAAGAATGGAGGTGATTAACTCCATTGGAAGGGACGCCATTGTTGTGGATTTCGAGAAAACAGAGCAAAAATAAATTAAAAAAAAAAGGTGGAAAATGGAGAGAAAAAGGAGGTGTTTTTATGGAGGAGAGATTGAAATGGGTTAGTTTTATTTGCCTTGGGTATCACGGCTTAACTACCCCTCAAATTTGAAAAACCCCTAAAATGTAGGGAAATTGGGTAATTTGGGCCTTTTTGCAAAAAAAATTGGCGAGAGATGGTCGGATGGATGTAGTCTATGTAGTCCCGTAATGCTACCTCGCTTTAGGAGGTGTGGTTGATTGGTTGATCATCATACTCGTACCAACATGAAATATATTATACTTGTACCAGCATGGCAATCCACTATTTTAATCGTATATGAATTATTATACGGGTATAGCCGATATACTCGATAGTCCGTACTCGATACTTCGAAATGCTACCTTGTTTAGGAAGCATGATTGATCATTATATTCGTATCAACACATTTTATTTTAATTAATTAATTTTAACAAATTTTGTTTATTCACTTTAATAAATTTTTAAATTATTTATATATATATATATATAAAAAAAAAAAAAACTCTTTTTATCAATATTTTTTAAAAAAATAAAAAGAGAGTAATATAAGTAACAATTTTATAATTTTTCTCTCTAAGGTTCTTCAAAAAAAAAAAAAAGTGTTTCATAGGTCAGAAATAGTCAAATTTCTCCGAAAATTTGGCTATTTCCGACCCTTTCCCTTTAGTTTCTTTATGTTGTTATAATTGAATTCAATAAATCTACACTCTTTGAAGGCAGTAACTAGTAAGTATCCCTGTAGTGGGTTTGAGTGTATAGTAGAAAGTGTTTTTGTTTTTTGAGTTTAATATGATACAAATTGTTTCATGAGTAAAGATTTGTGCGAGATCGAAAAAGAGGTTAATCCTTCAATTACAATCAGATAAATCAGACGAAAAATTTCTTCAATTCACGACTACAACAGATCGATAGATCCCCTTGTCAAAAGAGGCTGTAAATCACGACGATACAAAAAAGGGTATGAAGAATGTACGATTTGCAACAACGATCGTAGCTATGTGGAAAGGAAGCTTTTATTTGATTTAATTGTTATATATTTATTAAATTTGAATCTCTTTGTAGTTATCGTATGACTTTTTATTTATAAATCAATCTTTATTAAAAAAAAAAATAAATAAATAAATTATATCATATAGGAACCTTAGCCGCCTTGTGAATATGTGACTCCTGTAAATTGCACCTTGATTTTTTTTTTTTTAATTTTTTTTATTAAACATAGTTTATTAAATTTCCCTCATACTATTTTTTTTTTAACAGAAATTTTCCTTCCTTTCGTCAAAAAATTTAAAAACCCCGTCATACTTTAACCTAAAGATATAAACCCTAATCATCCATAATCAATTCCTTAGAAGAAAAACTTGAAAAACAACATTGATCAATGGCCAACATTCCCATAGATATATTAGAATCAGAAATACTCATTAGATTACCAATTGAATCACTATGTCGATTTAAGTGTGTTACAAAATCTTTCAAAACCTGAATTTCAAGTCACAAATTCATAACCCTTCACTCGAATCGGACTATCTCTTCATTCAACTCTATGGCAAACAAGGTCTCCTCGCGCATTGGACTTGGCATCTTCTGACTCTTCTACCGTCAAACTCCCTTGTTATGTCGAAATATCTAATGGTATAATCGTCGGCGATAACTACACTTGGATAGGATGCTGTAACGGCTTACATTGTGTTGCAAAGAGCGAGACTGCAAGTTATGTAGTGTTCAATCCAATTACTGGAAGTTACAATGAAATATCCTTACCTAAAATAATTGGCCGAGGCTGGCAAACAACAATAATCTCTGGATTTGGGTACGACGATGTAAATGATGATTACAAGCTTGTCATGTTCAAACCAGTTTACGATACAGATTCCTATTACTGGCAAATATACGTTTACAGCTTGAATGCCAATTCTTGGAGATACACCGGCGTTAAACCGGCTGTTGTTATTGACAACCATCTATTACACCTGACTTTCTCTTATGAAAACATGACCGGGATTGGTTGTTTTGATATTCGCACTGAACAATGGAGCGTACTAAAGGTACCTGACTCCATCAAACCTGATGTCTATCGATACATACCCAAGTTTGGAATTTTCGATGGTTGCTTGTATTTACTCACCACTCTTGATATAAGAGTGAACTATGGGTCATGAAAGAGTATGGAGTGAAAGAGTCATGGACGAAGATTCTCGACAATTGTAGTGCTTTTAAACTCCAAGACTGTACACCACTTGGTTATTCCAAAGGATCGAGAGAGATGTTGCTTTGGGACATGAACAAATGTAACCTCGTCTTATACAACGTTAGATATAAAACAACAAAAATAACTAATATCAATGGAGTCTCTGGTTACTCTTACTATCCGCTTATGAGTAGTCAATCATTAGCATACTTCTGTAACAAAACCCTAGTTAGCGTTCCCGGTGGTAAGCAAGCTATAATGGCAGATCTAGGGAAATGAAATACAAGTAAGAAAGAATTTTGCTTTCTATCTATTTATTTATTTGCTTAAGCTTGTAAACTGAACTCTTTTTTTTTTGCTCATTCATGTATGTCTATATATATTGTCAAGCTTTGATTAAGCCACTTGAGGTTTGCGATTAGCTTACCTTAATCAGAAAGACAAAATTGAAAACAGATGTAGCTGGATAAAAACAGAAGTTTATGATTAAACTTCAGAGGAAACGATACAGGGGAATCTGAAGGCATTCAATCTAATAGCATGCTCATTGCTCAAGCAACAAAGCTGGAAAAAAATTGTGATTGTACTGCCAAAAACATCAATAAATACTATCTAAGTATCTAGTAACACATTTCCCTCCCCCCTCTTCTAAATTCAGCTAGTCAGCTTATTTGTATTCTGTTCACAAGATCTAGGAATAAAGGAACACATGAAGTTGTTTCCAACCCAGCAAGACGGCCATGGTAACCACCAGGCACCAGTGAACCTACTCTATTACAGTCATGCACCTAATGCAGGATTTAATATAAGGCTCTAAGCACATACAGAACCGCATTATACTGAAAAGAAAGATCTATAGCGCGTCCAAGAGTTTCAGCTCACATCAAAAACATATATAAGGCTTCCTTATGCATATGGAAGCGCTTCTGAATCTACCCTGAGGTTTATAAAAGGCATGATTGCCATAAAATAGTTATAAATATGACTCTAGGAATTTCAGATTTAGCTATAAGTCAGACTGGATGATATGAAGCCACGTAGTCTCAGTTAGGAGTAGTCTTAGGACGGTATGAAAACTTAGGAAGGCAGCCTCAACAAATATATGTAAGACACGGGAGTAAGGATGAAATATGGAGAAGTATCTAATAGCTCCTTATATGTCCTGCTTCTTCAAAATTTCACAGAACACAATTTGCACGGCATGGAGCCATACTAACATAGAGTACTAACTATAAATGTGACAGTGTCGTATAGTATCTATCATATTGAGTGTATATAGACTCATACCAAGAATAACTTCCCTGCTTCATGATGGCACACGAGAGTATATGGACTCGTACCATAAGAAACAAATTAAAGGTAATATACATAACTTGACAACAAACATATGTTAGAATAAAAATTCACACTGAGGCAAAACAATTAAAATTTTATCCTATATCATTCCAAGAGAGAAGCTCCTCAAAATAAAGAGAAGGTTTAGGAATACTACTACACATCACAACCACGAGTTCTCAACCAAACTACATAAGACTATATAATGAAGATTCAGAGCAAAAGAAAGCATAAAAGATAATAAAAAGAGGCAACCAAACAAGATCTCATGCATTAGGATCCATCTAATCTTAGAAGCAACTCAGCTAGCTATGACATAAACATGATTATCTTCCAAATAAATTATCAAACTAGATTAGCACCCGATGAAATAAGAAGATATCACTCACTCTTTTGCCTCATTCGCTGAAGAGCTTTCATTGCTATTTTCATCGCAATAGGAACAAGGCTTTCGACACAAAGGCTGACATCATGAAGCTTAAGGCTGTTGGGAATAGTAGGAGCAGCTTTGATAGTTTTTTCCCTCAGATTATAGCAGCAAAGGTCACCCTCATTTTCTCTTCTCAACAGAACTTCCTCTCCTCCTTCAGAACAAGCAAGTGGAGCACTCAACAAAGGTCCGACAATGCTGGCCTCAGTGATATTAAACAACTTAGTCCAAGACTCTTCAACACCATACTCTTTCATGACCCAAACATAGACATTATCGAACTCAGGGCAAATTCGAGTCACTAGGCATAAACAATCATCTAGAACCCCTAAAACAACGAAATCATCAGGTGTAAAGCCATAACTAGACCGCGAATCATCATCAGAGTTATAACCCTTTTTCCCTGATCCTGTGAGATCAGGCAATGCCAAATAATCAGTCCATTCTAAGGCCGAGAGATTAAACCCTCTGACCCGAGGCTTTCTCTCAGCACATTTCCAGAACATCCAATGAACTACATTGTTGTTAATCACTGCACCAGGGCTATCTCACATCATCTTATCATCAGTACAACCTAAAATATGACCTATATACCATTGATTCGCTCTCAAGCTATAAATCCTAACTTCCCTGAATATATAACCAAAGTTGCACCTATGACCACTCCCATCACCATTATTATCACCATTAGTACCATCACTATCACCATCATTACCACCACCATTACCATTATCGCTGCACTTCACCACTGTTATCTTCACCACTGTTATCATCACCACCACCACCATTGCCGAAGCCAGTACCAATACCACCATTATCACCACCACCGCCGTCATCACCGTTATCGATACCACCATCATCACCACCACTACCATCACCACCACAATTACAACCATCCTCACAATCAGAATTATCAGGATGAAAATAGTCAGCACTAGTCACAATCCTATAATCTTCCAACTCAAAAACATACCCAAAACCAAAATTAATATTCATAAAATCCGGAGCCAATTCATCATTATGAGGGGGATGAGGAAGTATGATATGGGTATTAGTAGATGGGTTCCATAACATAATCTCAAACAATTGAGGATCATCAACATTTCTACAACTCAAAGCTACTAATCCATTACAAGACCCAAAATCGAGAACTCGTAACCAGAAAATGAAGTGGGTAGATCAAACCTGGAGTAAGTAGTAGCATTAGGTGAAGGGTCGAGCTCGGAGTTCAGCTTTAATGGCGTTGATTCCAAGTGACTGCCATAGTTGAGAATAAGGAGACGATTGTTGGAGGAGAGAAATTGAGCAAGGTAAAGTTTGAGGAAATGGGGTTTTCTGAGTAGAGAATTCCAATCTTTGGAAACGCATTTGAAGCGAGCTAGTGATTTTGCAGGTAAACGGGTGAGAATGGAGGTGATTAACTCCATTGGAAGAAACGCCATTGTTGTGGGTTTAGTGAGAGAAGCAGAGCACAAAAATAGGTAAATGGCAAAAACGGTTGTGTCTGAGAATTAGTTTTGTGAATTTGTTGTATTTGTACACACCTGAATGGAGGTGATTAACTTGGACTTAACTTGGAGTACACAAGTAGGGTTGTCAATTCGGATATTCGGATTGGGTCTGATGAGATCGGATCGAGTTAATTTTTAAAGTTAAAGTCATGTTAAATTATTATGTTTACGCGAGTCGAAATCTGAATCGAATATTTTATGAGTCGGTTTCGAATCAGATCGGTGTGGTTTTGATACCTCTAGACACAAGTCACAAATCTCACAATTACACATTTTTTTACTTGTATCAATTGATTTGTTGAACATTTTATAGAGGTATGGAATATGGATATGGTAATGGTACCTGATCGAGTGGATATTGGCTTATTTAGTTACATCTTATGTTCTATTTTTGCCAATTTTTAAAAGTCGTCTTTAAAGGGAAGATGTATGCCCTTGCTCTCTAATCTCGATTAGTTTTTTTTTTTTTTTCACTTGAATTTGTTGTATAGTCCATACTTATTTTATTAGTACATTCTTGAATTTTGGACTTTGTTTGATTAAAACTTAAATAAACTTGGACTATGGATCACTAGTTCAATACACGTTTATATGCCAAGAATTTAAGGACATAGATGATTATGGTACGTGGATCAATAGATGTCGGCTTATTTATCTACTACCTCCGTTTTTTTAGTCGACACGTTTTGACTTTAGCACTATTCACTGACTCCCTTTCGATTGTGTTTTGTGCTTTATACTTAATGAAAAATATAGTCATGTGAGATTTTGTTAGATTCGTCGCAATATATATTTTCAAAATATCAACTTTTTATAATTTTTGTTTATCGGTAATTAGAGATATTAATGGTTGAAGTTGTGCATTGACAAACGTGACTAAAGAAACGTGTCAACTAAAAATAAATGGAGGAAGTATTTTTTTCAATTAAATGTCGTACTTTGACTTTTGCTCTATTTGTATATATTGACCTCTATTTATGCTTTATTGATATAATTGATTAAAGTTCCGTCGACCTTTATCTTAAAACATAGGAAATATATCTTATTTAATTCGTCCTTTTAAAATAAAATGACAGTAATGTATGGAGTAATTAAAATGATTTGTAATCTCAATTCTCAATGTTCTTCTATGTTCTATTGCATAATGTTATGTAGGTCGTTTTAGAAAGCTTTGCAGTCCAAAGTCATGTGTTGTCCAATAACCACATACTCCGTATTTTATATACTCCATAGAAATATTGATGTTCACATTAATTTTATTAAATAACCTTTGAATATGATGAAGTTGTAGTACTACACAAAATATAGGGTGACCAAGCAGCTTAATTACGTCAGAGACAAGGTGGTCTACTATTATATACTTGTACAAGCAACTAAATTAATACGTTGATTCTAAATCGGCAAGATAGATAAATAAGCAAGTCCATTGTTCAATGGATAATAAGAAGAAAATACGAAAGATGAACAAATGTTGACGTATATATCACTTTTAGTCTCTACATTGACCAAATACTACTATTTACTTTCGTGAATAAACTAAATTACTACTCCATCCGTTACTAAAAGATTATCTAATATTTTTGTTTCACTTATTTAAGAAGCAAGTATTACAATTTATGCATATAAGTGAGCATAATTATTGTCAAGAATTCGAGAATAGATAGATGAGTAAGTGAGATTGTAAATGAGAATTTA